TAAACGCTAAACCTAGAAACCCTAAACCCTAAACCCTAAACCCTAAAACCCTAAAACCCTAAACCCTAAACCCTAAACCCCTAAACCCTAAACCCTAAACCCTAAACCGCAAACCCTTGGAGCCCTCTATCCAGAACTCTCGGCCTCATCTTCGGCAGGCGTCGTGAGAGTCAGGATCCGGGTGGAGAAGGACAGAACAGAGCGGCGGTTTAGGGTGGGGTTTAGGATTTAGGGGTTTTAGGGTTTAGGGTTTAGGGTTTAGGGTTTAGGGTTTAGGGTTTAGGGGTTTAGGTTTTAGGTTTGGTGGTTTAGGATTTAGGGTTTTGGCGTTTATTGTTTAAGGGTTTAGGGTTTAGGGGCCTTAGTAATTACCTTTACTATTTTGGGGTTTGCTTGGTATACTTACACTATAATTATATTGTACCCCAAAACCCTATTCTAACTATTACCTTTACTATTTTGGGGTTTGCTTGGTATACTTACATTATAATTATAGTGTACCCCAAAACCCTATTCTAACTATTGAGGCCCCTACAGTATCACTATGCACAGTTTACGGTTTAGGGGTTTAAGGGGCAAGAAAGGCCATACAGAAGCACTGAAGAAGCCTCAGCCGAAAACATCCAGTCGTTGTTACCTTCAGGTTTTGGAGACTCCCTCATTCAGAATTTGCTTCTTGTTGCTTCTTATGCAAGGTTACCAATTCACTCGTGTTCAGGGTGTATGGCTTAGTGGCAAAAAGCTTTAGGGCTATGGGGCTTTTAGGGTTTCGGGTCAGCAACCCCCATGCTTTCTGCAATTAAATTACCCCACAGTTGTCTTTTGTTTGTGAAATGGAGGCCGGGCTCTGCACTGGGGTGTTTCAGGCTTTGCAGAGAATACATGTTCCATCATAGGCGACAATAGAATCACTAAGCTTGAAAAGGGTTACATACCAAGACAAGCATTTCGATACCACTATAAACGGTACATGACAGCGTCATTACGTATTGGCATGCGGTGTGCATCACTTTATATACCTTGAAAAGCTTGTGTTTCTCGCAAGATCCCAAAGCCGTGACAAGTTGGGGGCCTATCGGCACTTGAGTTTGCTGGTCTTGGTCTAGCTCTAGGGTTTAGGGTTCAGGGTCAAGCATCTCGGTTTTTGTGGCGAGCAAAGCTTGGAGACGCCATCGCCGCCTTTGCCAAGGGGGAGGGGTGGTCCAGCTTTAGCCCAGCAATCCCGAGCTAAGTGCGAGATTCGTGCCCGGTCCGCAATAATACGTGTAGTATCCTAAGCCTCTCCCAAACGCCCCAAAAGACCTAAACCGTAAACACGACAAATACTCTGCATTTCTTAGGGACCCAAAACGCACATAATCATAAGCTTTTCATAGGGATATCCCTACCTTATTGGGCTTCATTATAAGGGGATTGATATGGGACATCCGGATCCTAGTTTTTGCTTATGTGCTTTCTTGGGTTCCTAGTTTCATCCTCGCACCAGCCTTCAGACTAAACAGCTGGAGTATGTCAGCCCCTGTGAGGACAACACCCTCGGGTACGCGACGCTCCGGGAACAGCAGGTGCTGCCTTGCCCTCATAGTCCATGTATCCATACAGTATATACTTTGGCCTTAAAGTACAAAAATAGAGGAACAGTATATACTTTGGCCTTAAGGTACAAAAATAGAGGGAGTACTTTTAGAGCAAAAAGATCTACTATATGAGCACGTGCACCCCGAGAGTTTGGCGGGACAAGGTTGGGATGTAAGGCTTGCAGGGGTTTAGGGTTTAGGGTTTAAGGTTTAGGGCTTAGAGTTTCATCAGAGTCTAGAGTTGATCCTGAGGCTTTGCGCAGTTGCGATCTAAATCGCTCGCTAGCCAGTGAGGTAGCTCAAGGCATGAATGTGGATCTATGGTGACCTAGATGTGGCTTGTGCATATTTTTAGGTTGCATGCATACAATGTATGCGATGGCTGTATGCATGTATGCAAGCATGTATGTAAGCATGTATGTATGTATGTATGTATGTATGTATGTTTGTATGTATGTATGTAAGTATGTATGTATGTAATTATGTATGTATGTATGTATGTATGTATGTATGTATGTATGTATGTATGTATGTATCTATGTATGTGAGTACATGTATATATATATATAGATATGTATGTATATGTTCGCACTCAAGTCTTCATTCACCGCACCCGAACTCTCAGCTTGGAGCTCACTGCTTCATTTGGCCCGAAGCCTTGGTTTAACCCCTTAGGACCCCGGATCCTGCAGCTTGAGTTCTGAGCCGCCCCAGAGGGTCCACGTATACTACCACGATGAAAGTAGGCCCCAAAGGACCATTCCAGTGTTTGCTTTTGGGGACCTAATGCCATAATACTGGGGTATATATGGACCCTACCCTAAACCCCCGCACATCGCCAGACCGTGAGGTCTTGTAGCTGTGTCGTGGCATCCAGAAGAAGGTGCTTAACAGGTTTAGGGTTTAGGTTGAGCAATCACCCAAAAGCAGCCTAAACCCTAAACCCCCGTCAACCGAATCCTTCACCAAACCAGGGGCCTGTAAAGCGGTTGCGTTGCACCTAAAGATCCCAACACCCCTCAATTGAGGAAACTACTGCAGATCTTGGTATGAAGCCCCTTAAGATTTAAGGCGTGTTCTTGTTTTGTTAGAACCCCATAGAATCCCTGTCGAACTCTATTAAACACCCACAAAGCCCCTCCAGAAAATCTAAACCCTAAACACTAAACCCCTGTTGCAGGCTGTGTACTTGGAGGCCTTGGCCCCTGAGAAGCCACGCGAGGGGTAAGCTCTGGCGTGACATCTTTGGAGATTTGCCACGGCAGTGACACCTTCTTCACAGCAACCCTAAACCGCAGCCCGTAAACCCTAAACCTCTCAACCCTAAACCTCTAAACCCCTAAACCCAAAACCCAGGTTCTTTAAGGGTTCTACGTGTTTAGGGGTGTCGGCAGAGCAGGGAGACTGTACCGTCGTAATAGTCGTCGTCGTCGTCGTCGCAGTAGTCGTAGTAAACGGTTTAGGGTTTAGGGTTTGGGGAGTAGTAGTAGTAGTAGTAGTAGCAGCAGCAGCAGTAGTGGTAGTGGTAGTGGTAGTGGTAGTGGTAGTGGTAGTGGTAGTGGTAGTGGTAGTGGTAGTGGTAGTGGTAGTGGTAGTGGTAGTGGTAGTGGTAGTGGTGGTAGTACTCGTAGTCGTCGTCGTGAAACAGCAAGGACACTATAATATCACACTCAAACTAGTGTTGACAATCGTACTCATGCTAAAGCACAAATGATGACAATTGTAGCGAGAGCATTTGCACACTGCAAATTCATATCAACAATAAATGTGATGTAGATGATGTTCATAAGGTCTGAATGCTGTTGACATACAATGTCCTTGATAGTCCTCACATAGTTCATCCCAAAACCCTGCTCTAGCTTTTAGCATGAGCTGACAATTTAGGTGTTGTAGGCTGGGTTTCTGCTGATTTCGGGCCGGACAAGAGTGTAGGCAATGCCCTACGACGCTCGCTTGGGTTTCGTGTGCGCCGGGCAGCGTGAATCGTGTCCTGCCAGGGAATTCTCCTTTAATAGGGGGGCGCAAAACCCGCAACCCTAAACCCTCCTTGAATCCTTAAGTGCTAAGCCCTATACCTAGCTTCTAAATCCGAAATGCATAAAAGCAGCAGCTTCGCAATCTCTCTGTCTCTCGCTCTCTCTTTCCAACACAAAGGGACTCCGCTCCCGCGAGATAGCAGCCATAGGCATAGATCATATATACTTAATTTATCCTAGACTGCCCAGCGGCGTATTTCCTGAACCTTTTTCTTCTTACTGGTTAACCTGTAAACCTTTTGCCTTGGACCCCAAACCCTGCAGCCCTGAATCGCACTTGGGTTCTGGTGTACTATGACTTATTCCTTATTACAAATGATGAAATGTACGATGAAGGAGCCAAAAACCCTATTCTAGTTATTATTATTATTATTATAAGGCCCCTAAAACAATTCCCTCCTTTTGGGCCCCTGCGGATGTCTTGCTGTGATTTCACCTCACGGAAGGAGGTCCTCCGAACCGAGTGCTGCACTACTGAACCGATAAAATGACAAACCGTCCTTTAGGGTTTAGGGTTTTGGTTTTTAAGGACCCTTTAAACCCTCAAGCCTAAACTGTCTTACAATTGCATTCCGTTTAGGGATTTGGGGTGTGGGGTCTACGGGTTGTTGAGTAAGGCTTGGGCACTAAACGTTCAAGGAGTTAGAGTGTCGTTGTAGTCAACACTGCTCGGGTCTTCTCTTGCCACGAAGTCCGCTTCGTGAGCGAAACCTGGTAAGCTCAGCACTGGAAGTGTCTGCACTCGGTCTGTTAACGGCTCGCTACCCGGCCACGTGCAGCGTGCGGGGCGCGTCTCGCGCGGGACCAAGGAAGTGTGATCTGGGTGTTTTGAGTGGGAACCTATGTCGGTTGGTGGGTTAAGATTTAAAACCCTAAACCCTGAACCCTAAACCCCTAAACCCCTAAACCCTAAACCCTAAACCCAAAACCCCTGTAAACCCTAAACCCTAAACCCTAAAGGTAATTAGGCACATTGTAGCCATACGGAGTTACAACGCTCAGGTTTCATGACTATAGAGCCGACATCGTATACGTTTTTCCGGCTTAGAGGATGTGGGTGGTTGAGTTGTAGGGTTTGCCTTAAAGCCTAAGCCCTAAAGCTAAGGATCTGGGAGTAAGGATGTAGGAAACCGGAGTTGCAGGGACCACCACCATGAACTTGCGTCCCGAAAGACCATCCTTATTGTGGTTTTATAGGGTTTTAGGCACGGTAAACCCTAAACCCTAAGCCCTAAACCCCAAGCCTAAACCCTAAACCCTAAACCCTTAACCCCCTAAACCCTAAACCCTACAGTAAGCCCTAAACCCTAAGCCCTAAACCTTTAACCCGAAGCCCTAAACCCCTAAACCCGAGACCCCTAAGCCCTACACCCTCACTAAACCCCTAAACCCTAAACCCTAAACCCTAAACCCTAAAGGAGCCTCTGGGGTTCGTTTGCCCTGGGCTATACCCTAAACCCCTAAACCCTGAACCCTAAACCAAGGCAATCACCCATTGCAGGTCAGGGTCTCGTTCGGAATAGGGTAGTTAGGGTTTAGGGTTTAGGGGTTTAGGGGTTTAGGGTTTAGGGTTCCTAATGGTCCAAATCAAGGAAAGAAGAGAAGCTCAACGAGCAGATGGAGTCCTCGACGGCAGGCGTTGATGGTGCTGCACCTTCTGCTGGTTTAGGGTTTAGGGTTTAGGGTTCCCAGCTCTCCAAGCGAGACAGGGGGAAAGGCTTGAAATTCGCCAAGTCGTTGGCGAGTGGTGGTCTCCCGGAACACATTACTCACATGTGCCGAAAGCCACCCCAGGGCTCGAGCTCGCGAGAGTTCCGCACCCAAATGATCAACAAGCTCTTTGTCCGCTCCAGCAAGGGCACCTTGCACAGGCACAATCCTGCCGGTGCCGATTCCATCCACGGGGCCATCACCCTTCGGTGCCCATCAAACCCTAAACCCTAAACGGGTTTAGGGTTTAGGGTGGTTTTGTGGTATGTAGTGTGGATTCTGCTGCAGATCAAGAGCGAGCCCAGCGAAAGTCTGGGTCTCGGGAACGCTCAAGGTCAACGGAGACACCACCTCGTCCTGCATCATGTTGCCGATCTTGGCGTAATTGTCGGGTCCTTTTTTTAGGGGTTTAGGGTCTAGAGTTGGACCTCTTCGGAGTGCCGTTTGCGTTGGACTGAGCAGGAAAATACAATCTTTGCATCGTGGTCTGGATGGCGTCAGGCTGGGCAGCTCACATTTAATGCACATCTTGACGGCTGGCCAGGATTTCAGTGCACCGTTCGTTGCATTGGCTGAGTTCGTCCTTCCGACCCAGGCATCTTCGCAGTCTAAGTGCCGGCATAGCAGAGCTTCAGCGAGCTTCAAAAGGTACTTTGGGCTCTGAATTATGGCCGCCTGTCTGTAGATGCTTCGTAACATCTTCGCATTTCTTACCTATTCCACCAATACCCAACCCTTACTTAAACTTATGATGAACCTTGAGCAAGTTATGTATTCCTCATTTTGGGGATGCAAGAGGAAGCACAGCTGCACCCATGGTTTTTCTTTGCATTCACCCATTCCCTGTTTAGGGTTCAGGGTTGAGGGAACCCTAGCCTTCCAACCCAAACTGAAGGTTTAGGGTTTAGGGGTTTCGGGGTTTAGGGTTTTTAGGGTTTAGCGGTTTCGGGGTTTAGGGGTTTGGGGTTTCGGGGTTTAGGGTTTAGGGTTCACTGTTTAAGGTTCAGGGTTTAGGGTTTACAGTATTGCACCCGTAGAATATGCCCATGCCCCTAAACCCTAAGCATTCGCGTCACTCAGCCGAGGTCTCCGGACAAGCTCCTGCGGAGCGCGCGGGGCAGTGATTGAGGAGCGTTCTTCACCCCTGGCCCTCATGACTCCATCTTTTCGAGTCATATGAGCGTTTAGGGTCTGGAATCTTGGTTTGGGGCTTCAGTGTTTCCTAAACCCTAAACCCTAAACCTTTAAGCTTGAGAAATGTTGCCGGTAAATGTCTTTGAGGCTGGGGTCCTGGGCTCTGTCGAGAGGCGCACTACTCAGGGAGCGGGGGCTGTGACCAGGAGCTCTTGCAGTTACTCTGGTTTAGGTTGTCAGGGTTTCATTGGGGTTTCTGACTTAAGATTTACTAGTTCGGGAGATTTAAGTGGGGTTTCTCATATAGGACTCAGGGTTTTGGAGATTTAACAGGGGTTTCTGAATTCGGGTTCATGATTTAGGGTTTATACATACGGGGTTCAATTGCGTTTTCTCGGGTATTCGGGGTTAGGGGCCCTACTTGGGATTTCTCACTCTCTGTTTGGGGAATTGGGGTTCCTCCATTGTAAGGTCTAGGGTTTAGGAGGGTTTGGGGTTTAGGGGTGTAGAGTTTCTCAAAACAAGGTACTTTGTTTACGGTCATGACAGTACAGGTATTCTGTCAGAAGCTAGTGAAAGTCGCCAAAGCCGTCATCGTCATTATCTAGGCCACAAGAGTCTAGGGTAATTCTACTACCATCGAAGCTTGTAGACTTACCACAACACTATTCCTTGTACAAAATAACCGAAGCCCCATTCTTTAGAACCCTGAACCCTACCTATAGTCTCCATTGTGGTTCCTGGTTTGGGTTACCTTTATCTCAAATAAAGTTGGTTAAGCCCAAACAGGAACTACAGTGTTATAGTGGAGACAGACCCTAAACCCTAAACCCGGAACCCTACACTAAAGCCTATGTTGATTTTACATGTAGTCGTGATGATGATATTCACTGGGTTCTGGAGTACCATACTGCAATGCTGTTGTTTGACCGGTTCCCTGGGTTAAGGAGCCATATAAGAAATCATGAAAGAGTACAAGTCTATACTTGTTTCTCCCTGGTTAGTTCAAAGTCCAAGATGTAGTCGCGATGGTATTCTAAACCCTAAACCAAACCCTAAAACAGAAACCCCAAACCCGCTTTGGTGCAGCTCTTTGGTCCGCTTTGGGCTTCCTGTAGTCGGAGTCCTGGGCGTGTCCCAGGGACCTGTGAGAAACATGCTAGAGCTCGAAGGGCTTCGATTCAATGTAATGGAATCTTAGAAGCTTGAATAATACTAAAAGCGACTACCCACGCATTTTCCTTGGGGTCGCTCCTTGAAGTGATTTCGCATAGTTATGCGAAAATGTACTTCGCAATTCTGGAGGCTTGAGACACGCAGAAGCTCCAAGCACGAGCAGGCCTAAGAC